CCGATCAACCTCCATCTGTGACGGAGCGACCACATCAGTGGACAAGAGAAGAGCTACGCAAGTCACCTCTCTGGGCTTCCGTGGGGCCTTTGACACGGTCCACCACAACATCCTGCTCTCTGAATTGGAGAGACACGGATCTGATGGGTGGACTGCTCGGTGGATGAGCAACTGGGTGGGTGGTCACATCCAGAAGGTAGTGGCCAATGACTTCGTGTCCCGATGGAGATGGATGACAAGGGGTGTCCCTCGGGGATCCACACGGTGCTCTTTAATGTGTTCACCAGTGACACAGACAGTGGGATCGAGGGCACCCTCAGCAGGTTTGCAGACACCACCAAGCTGAGCGGTGCGGTTGACGTGCCTGAGGGACGGGATGCCAGCCGGAGGGACCTGGACAAGCTGGAGAAGCGAGGCTGTGTGAACCTCCGTGAGGTTCAACAAGGCCAAGTGCGAGGGCCTGCAGACGAGTCGGGACAGCCCCCAGCATCAGTAGGGGCTGGGGAACGAAGGGCTTGAGAGCAGCCCTGCAGAGAAGGACTCGGGGCTATCTGTGGGTGTAAAGCCGGACATGAGCCAGCAGCGAGTGCTCACAGCCCAGAAAGCCAGCCCTATCCTGGGCTGCAGCAAGAGAAGTGTGGGCAGCGGGGCGAGGGGGGGGTCCTGCCCCTCTGCTCTCCTGAGACCCCGCCTGGGGTCCTGCGCTCAGCGCCGGGGGCTCCGGCGTAAGAAGGACACGGAGCTGTTGGAGCGGGGCCAGAGGAGGCCACGGAGATGATCAGGGGCGTGGAACACCTCTCCTGTGAAGAAAGGCTGAGAGAGTGGGGGGGTTCAGCCTGGAGAAGGGAAGGCTCCAGGGAGACCTTATTTATAGTGGCCTTTCAGTGTTTCATGGGGGCCTACAGAAAAGACTTTTAAGCAGGGCCTGTTGCCATAGGACAAGGGGTAAATGGTTTCAAACTGAAAGAGGGTGGATTTAGATGACAAATAAGGAAAAAAGTTTTTACAATGAGAGTGGCGAAACAGTGGAACAGGTTGCCCAGAGAGGTGGTGGATGCCCCATCCCTGGAAACGCTCGAGGTCAGGTTGGACGGGGGGCTGAGCAATGTGACCTGCTTGAAGGAGTCCCTGTTCATTGCAGGGGGGTTGGAACTAGGTGACCTTAAAGGTCCCTTCCAGCCCAAATTGTTCTATGATTCCATCATCAAGACAAATCGGTGAAGTGAATGTTGATCCACTCGCCACACGTGATGAGACTTTCTAGGCAAAAGCGGGGCTAAGAGGACTGCGGGAAGGATTAAAGGAACTAATCAAAGTACAGATACTAAAGTTAACACAATCACTAAGGGGAGGAGGAGCTACACTTGCAAAAGCATCACCCCAGAGTATGGCTCCGCTGAAGCAGCTACGCAGGACAGAGGGCCGTGTGTGACTAGTGAAATTCCTTCCCACCTTCTGGGAAACAGCAGACCAAACCAGAGTGAACTGTAGCATAACAGGTAGCCGCCTCGCAGCTCCTCTTTCTGTGCTGGTTGTTATTTAACAACGCGAGTTTAATTTGGAGGTGTCTGGTGGAACATGTGAAATTGCAAGGGAATAGAGAATCTGCGATCAAATGTGACAGCTCTTAAATTAGCCCAGGAAGCGGGGAAATAACATAAATACCAGTTGGGTCTCAACAGACACAGAAACTGGGGAACATGAACCCAAACACAAGATAGGAAGATTATTTTCGTGAATTGAACTCCGGGAACTGGAGCAGGAAATTGTGTTAGCTGAGACAGTGAATGAGTTAGCAGTTGCGGTGGATTTCGTTATGGGTGACATCTCAGAAATGTGAGAGAAGTTGTCTCACACTTTCGTCTGGGAAGTTACCTTTGGATCCTGGTGAAACGAATTATCTACAGGCAATCTGAAATGTACTACAAGCAGCCTTACGTGCTCTGTTACATGGGGCACTGTTAGGACAGCGATGTAATGTGGTATCTTTCCGCGAAGGAGATGATAGCCAGTGTCTGAAGTATGTTTTGAAATTAAGTATTTCAAGGGTTTTCACTGCCAAAGGTCCCACTGAATCTGAAGCAGGGGTGGATTCCTATTCCCTTACTGAGGTTTTTTGAGGGCTAGCTTATTAAAAGAACAGGAAAACCACATTTTGCAGGCAGAAAGAGTATGTAACTGCACGCTCCAGGGCCAGACGTGGGTGCACATTGCTGCTTACAATAAAGGCATATTGGAATGAGGTGGGTTTTTTTAAGATTTTGGTGGCTATTGTTGAGCCTGCACTGCAGATCTGCAGAAGAGGTTTGGAAGGGCAAGAGAATCTGAGCGAGATGGCAGCAACGAGGCACCTAACATGGCACGTATTCACCAGGGGTGGGTATGTTGTTATAAAAAAGGCTAGAGCGTGCTCTTTGGAGCTGAACTATTTTCAGGGGACTGGCCACAAGTGAAAAAACAAACAAACAACTATTTGACTTCTAATGGGTTCTGGGAAACAGAAATCTCCATTTTTACTTATTTATTGTTTTTTTTTAGTAAATAACAAGGAGTAGCAAAGACATACTTCCCTCTGTCAGAAATTTCATATAACAGAAACAAGCCACAGGCCCTGATTTTGTTTGTTATTTGCTAAGGTAAAAAAAAAAAAATGTAGTTCAAGTTCATTCTGCGTTTAGTTTTTTTTTTAGATATTTCAAAAACTATGGTGTTTTTTTTTTTTTGTACCACTGTGGTCTTCTTTTTGCAATGTTTAACATCTTTGCATGGGACATTATAGCTTAGATTTTTAGTTTCATTTTAAGATATAGGTTGTAAACGCCCATGAAATTTTCCGTGAACCATCTCTCCACTGTACAAATTGAAAGAAAATTATATCGTACTGACCGGGACTTTTAGTATGAAAGTATAGGTCTCGTGCTAGAAGGCCTGAAGTACTCATCACGATTGCCTCTGATACCTTGCCAAAGACAGCACATCCGTGGACTTTTTGACCCCGAAAATGTCTAACCTAAAACCAGGAGGTTTTTCAGCTTTCACGCCCTCCCCTTACTCACCGTGTCTGTCTTGAGCCACCTCTTCAGCTGATGTAGTTTGGCTGATTGCAGCCTGCCTTGTTTGCATTGCCAAGGATCTGCCACGCATTATTTTCCTTTGCTGACTGCGTGATTTTCTGTTGTGATAGGCGCTGGCTGACGTACGGCTAAACCTTAGGGGTATCGCTTTATTTCTGTATGCCAGCAAATGAATCCTTCACTCCTTCCATCCTTCTCCGGCGGTGAGGTTGTGCCTGTTGCGACCGGTGTGTGCGTGGAACGGTGTTGGGAAGCCCCCTGACATACCGTGAGCCTGTTTTATTGGGACCGCAGCTGGAAACTAAGAGATCCCAGGCCTGCTTTCTGGCGGGATGTTTCCTCAGCTGCCGCTGGTGCTCCTCAGTGACTGTCGGGCTCGTCCATGCTCCTGAGAAGACCCGGGCTCAGGAGGAGCCCTGTGGTGAAAGCGTCCCCCCCGTCTCCGCGCCCGCTACCCCCTGGAGCTGCGTGGACGTCCCGCCACGTCGCTGTGCCCCGGTTGCTGCGCCTTCTCCTTCCCCGCTTGGGCATTTATTATTGTTTCAGCCCCCCCCCAAAAAACTCTGCGCGCAGCCTAGGGGACGCGAGGGCTTGTCCCCGGGCACCGCGCAGCCCGGCCAGCGAGCTGAGGGGACGGGACCACCAGCAGCCCCCCCCCCCCCCGGGCTCACTCCGCCGTGCTGGAGGAACCAGGGACACCCCGCGCGAAGCGGCGGTGGCCCCGGGGACACCCCGCGTCAGGGAGCGCCTGCCAGGGGCCGCCGAAGACCCAGCCAGGCCCCTCAGCCGATTCCTGCCGCTGGGTGACACCCCCCCGCCCATTGCCCCTTCCCGGGTGCTGTGGGCAGCAGGGCGGGGTGCGAGGGTGTGCTGAGTCAGCAGTGAGGGGTGTGAGGGTGTGCTGAGTCAGCAGTGAGGGGTGCGAGGGTGTGCTGAGTCAGCAGTAAGGGGATAGGGTGTGGAGGGAGGGAAGGAAGGGAGGGAGGGAGGGAGGAAGGGAAGGAGGGAAGGAGGGAAGGAAGGAGGGAAGGAGGGAAGGAGGGAAGGAAGGAAGGAAGGAGGGAAGGAGGGAAGGAAGGAGGGAAGGAGGGAAGGAGGGAAGGAAGGAAGGAGGGAGGGAGGGAGGGAGGGAAGGAGGGAGGGAAGGAGGGAGGGAAGAAGGAGGGAAGAAGGAGGGGAGAAGGGGAGAAGGGGAGAAGGAGGGAAGGAGGGAAGGAGGGAAGGAGGGAGGGAGGAGGGAGGGAGGGAGGGGAGAAGGAGGGAAGGAGGGGCGGCGGGGCCCCGCGCGCCGGGCGGGGGCGGGGGCCGTCGCTCACCCCGCCCCCCGGGGAGCGGGGCGGGGCCCTTGGCTCCTCCCCTCCAGCCCCCGCCCGCGCGGCGGACGGGAGGGGGCGGGGCGGGGCGGGGCGGGGCGGGCGCGCCCCCGCGCAGACGCGGACGGCGGGGCGCGCGCAGGTGGCGGGCGGCCCCCGCGCGCTGCGCTCGCCGCCGCGGGCCGGCCTCCGCCGGGGTTAGCGTGTCGGCGGGGGGGGGGGGGGGCCGGGCCGGGCCGGGCCGGGCCGGGACCGCCGCCGCCTCCCACGTGAAGGGCCGGAGCCGCCCGGGCGAGCGGCCGCGGCCGGCCGAGGGAACCCCGCTGCCCCCGCAGCGCCGGAGCTTCCCCTCCGCCTCCCCGCCCGCGGGCCCTGCGGGGCGCCGCTCCCGCCCCGCCGCTTCGGGGGAGGCGGCCGGCGCCGCGGCTCTGCTGCCCCCGCGAGCACCGCTCACGGGGCGGGCGTGGGGATTGTGCGTGTGCGTGCGTGGGGGGCGGTGTGCGCTGCGGAGAGGGGGGACCCCCCCCCACCCCCCTCCCACCCCAGCCCCCGGGGCGTCCCGGCCCCGCCGGCGGTGGATGCGCCCGGGAGGAGCCGCCCAGCCCGCGGGGGGGGGGCCGCGGGGCGCCGCGATGGCTTGACGCCGGGCCGCGGCGTGCCGTGCCGTGCCGTGCCGTGCCGTGCCGTGGAGGGGATGACACGCTTCGTGGCGGCCGCGGCGCGGTGGCGGCCGGCGCTGCCCGCCCTGCTGCCGCTGCTGCTGGCCGTGCCGGCGCTGCGGGGCTCGCCCGCCCCAGGTAAGGGAACAAAGGGGGGCCCGGCCGGGCCGCGGCAGGTGTGCCGGGCCGCGGGGGGTTTGGGGAGGGGAGGGGGGGGGGGGGGGGGTGTGTGTGCCGAGGGCAGCCGTCCACGCGTGCCGGTGGGTGCGGGGAGGGGGAGGCAGCGGCGGTAACAATGCGGCGGTGCCCGCGGGCGGGGGCCGCGCGCGCGGCGCTGCTGGGCAGCTCCGCCAGGAAACGCGCGCGATGTGGGCGGCCCGCTCCGCGCCCGCGGAGGAGAGGAGCGGGGTGCCGGGGGCACCCGCGTCCCAGGGCTCTCGGGGGGGGCCCGTGTTTGGGGGGGGGGGGGGGCGGCGGCACCACCCGCGTGGTGCGGGGCTGCCGTGGGTTCTCCTTCGCCTTTCGAGTGAAGGAGCCTCAGAGCCACCGCGGAACGCCCGGCGCCGCTTGCCGAGCACGGCCGTGGCGTGACTCGCGTGTGCAGAGGGCCGGCGGGGCTTCGGGGGGTGGTGCGTGCTCCGCAGGTATTTCAAAATAGCCGGGAATTAGTGTGTGTGTCCCCCCCCCTTTTTCCTCTCTTCTCGAGTGGCTCCAGACCTCAAAATTAGCCCGTAGTTAAGCAAACAGTTTAATCACAAAGGTGTCTCGTTCGGTTCTGCTCCCATAGCACTTCTCAGTTCACCTTTGATGCTTCTCTTAAAAAACCTCAACATTTACAGTTTCAGAGAAAGGGACAGCTTTCCTGTGGCTGTAGGTTTTCTTTTTGATAGGTAACAGGTATAAAGTAATACACTTGTATCAACGTAGATAAGGGGTAAGAAGTAATAAGAACCTGCATGAACCTATTTCATGAAGTAGACCAACTAGTGTTGGCTCTTTTATTTAAACATGGGAATTGTGGTGATTATTGTTGGGTGCTTAAGAAACCTTGGTGTTATAAAACGTGTTTATCTTTTCAATAATACTTTTTTTTTTTCTACTTCAGAAAGTAGTTTGTGTTTTTTGGTGACCAGTTAGCTTTTCAGGGAAGTTACCCTCTGCTCCCCTCGTAGCCAACAAGAGATGTTCCATTTCCAACCTGCGTGAAAGTTGACAATTTCTACTAAGCCTCAGAGGTTCTTTTTCTTAAATAGAACAGGCTTTGTATACAAACAGGAGAAGGCAAAACAGTAGGTTTGTAAATTGGAGATTTGATTGGGGTTTTTTTGCCTTTTGAAATAAATAGAATGGCTGGGTTTCTTTTTCTAGATCTTCATAGTAAGTTGGTGAAGGCTTTTGTTTAAGTGTTTGTGTAATACTTAGTAGTTCTTAAACATTGCTGTGGATTTCTGTAAACATTTGTGCCCTTGCTGTGCATTCTTGTACCACTTAAACACAGCAGTAGAAATACTGTGTAACTGAGACGGTGTTTGGGCTGCTGGAAGAACAACAGATCTCGCCCAGGGCGATGCTGCCCTGCTCTGGCTAGGGCAGGAGCCTTCAAGCTATTTTGATTTGTGAGTCTTCTGCATTTTCTCTTTCCACTGGGTATGTGAAGCGTGTACAGTGAACTTCAGCATACTAACAGCAAACTTGCTCTTCAGAGGATGTTTTTTGTAGACGTCTCAGAAACGGTCCGTCGATCACAGAGATCTGAAGACCGCAGGTTGCAGAGAACAAGAATATTTTGTTCCTTTTGGGTTGAGGTGAAATGCTTTATTAAAAAGCACGGCACGAGTTCAGTTTCTGTCTTGGGCCCGTAATCGTTAAAAAATTGGGACGCAGCCTTTATCATAATCTTTTTGCCTTGAAATATTTTGATGGTATAATGGGTGGTGTGAACCAGGAGAGATGTGCACTGGTCATGTGTAGTAGGATTGGACCACATTCACTTAATTGTTCAACAGATTTACAACTCCCTGAGGGTCTCTCTGGGGTGCAGTTCATTTGCTTTTCAGTGCCGTTTGGTCTTGCCCGGTTTAGGAACAGCACGAACAAACTCCTGTGGCTTTGGGTTATGCGGAAGAGGCATACAGTAAGAGTGGAATGGCTGTTAGAGCCGCTCGCCTGCAGTTGAAACAGCAAAGTGAACGTCAGTACTTAAGAAAATTTAGTAGTAAATCAACTTGGGTTTTGGAATGCTTGGTCCAGCTCCCACTGAAGTCACGTGTTGCTGAATCAGGGCTTCAGGTTCCACAATTAAGCAGATGCTGAACTCTTAGCCTGTGGGGAGGCTGCTAAAGGTAGGTGTGCATTTGAGCACCTCTGTGAACCAGGGCTTTGGTCAGGCTCTGTGAATGTTTTGCTGCTCAGCCCAGGCTGTGTTTTTGCTTTTGTTCCATTGCACAATCTACGCAGCTCCCGCACTGACAATCAGCAGGATTTATCTTGCCGTGCTGTGCTGTTTTCATGGGAGAGAGGAGAGCTATCTGCTGGACTCGGAAAAGCCCGCAGTGAGTCTCCTCAGAGATTGGAGGACCAAAGACAAGCTGTGGAGGTCAGGCAAGGAATCAGATGTATCTGCCTTATGGGACGGTTGCAGGATATTGTTTATTCAACTTAATTGCATGAGTGTGTTGCAGACACTTGAGTTGGCATCACGTCTCTTGTGGCCAGTTCAGCTTGTCAAGCTTGCTTCCAGTTCATTTCCGCAGAAGACCCATCTGGTTGGAGGATTCCCTTCAAGGCTGCTTTCTGTGCTGTGCTCGCTTTATTTATGTCAGCCTCGTGTCTACAAGCTACACTTGTAGTCTTGCCAGAGGAAGTGTGTTTTTTGTTTGCATGTTCTTTCAAGAAGTTGGAATGCTGAACAAGCTAGTGGACAGTGCAGCTTTTTGTTCAGTTGTGTCTGTTTTGTCAGTGACATTTGTTTTCTGTGAAGCACAGTCTTGGATTTCTCGGGCAGGGCTGGGACTTGAAATATAGCGTGCCTTTAGCAAAGTAGGCTTTAGCAGCTTTGACCTACCTCGGGTAATAGATTTCAGGCACTGGACACATTCAAGAGCAGTGATTCTTGCTGCAGCACAGATCTTTTCCAAGAGGTCTGGTGAAGCTGATGGTTGTGGTGAGTGGCAGGTTCTGACAACCCAGTTCTTACTTCTCAGTTCAGAGTGTGGGTGTGGGGGCAGTTCCTTGGGAGAGAAGTCGGGCAGAATAGGCTTCTTAATCATACAGTCTCACTTCAGCTGTGGCAGACATGGCTTTCCTTCATTTGAAAGTAAATCTGTTTATGGCTGATGTCCTAAACTACCAGTGTGTCTCCAGCCTTGCCCATTGTGGCGTACAGTATGAATAACACGAATTGCGTAAGAGTTATTATGGGTGATGTCTTTAACTACTAGTGTGTCTCCAGCCTGGCCCGCTGTGGCATACAGCATGAATAACGCTAATTGCATAAGAGTTATTAAAGAGAGCCTGTCCTGGGAACCTATGTATAAGTAAAAAGCCATAAGGAAATAGCACAACTTGTCTTTCAAATATTGTCCTGGAACTCAAAAGTTAAGTCAAATGGTAGCATTGAATGAACAGTGTGGACTTAATTTCTTTTTTGGCCCGTGTAAGAATCACATTTTCACGGAGCCCTTGTCAGTATGGCTAGTTTTACACTCTGGAGTTACATGATGTCTTTTTTTTTATCCCTTTAGAAGTCATGTATTTCTGTGCTTTCTTTAGTGGTTGCTAAACACACATGAGCTCAATAACAGGTTTGATTGACACTCCCTATATGTGCTGTGTTTTCAGCTGTTGAAGTTATGGGAGACAGCTGTTTTGGAAGACCAGGGGAAAACCTTTCGTAAGAGCGATGGATTTGTGGTGTCTTCTTCCTAACGTGTGAGAGAGGGAAACGATACAACTGACCATCAGGACTCACATTGCTCATTACATCAGTGTAATTAATTGCTTGTAAAATTCACAGAATAAATGCTGGGAAATGGTAGACTGGGCTGATTGTGCTAACTCTTATTAAAGCTGTAAGATGATATAAGGTGCTTGTAAGAAACACTACTGTTTTGCAGTGGAGTTGAAAACAACTGTTTCAATTGAAATTTTATAAAGTGTGCATTTCGCTATGGTCTGAATCTTTTTTTTTCTGGGCAAAGTGTCAGTTGAAAGAGTTCAGCTACTTCCGATGTTGAGGCAAGAAGAAAACAATGGTTTCGGCTTTGAGTTCTGCCAGCTTCTTTTCTGAACAACTTTAATACCCTTATGCTTTGGAGCATGCAGTTAAACTTTGGCAGATTGTGTCTGCTCTGAAGGGGATGTTTTCTCTGTTGCTGCTTTGAAAGTGATTTTTTTCAAAAGCTTGTAACAACTGAATTTAGGCACACATGGCTGTGATAAGAGATGATGTGGTTTTTGTTTGTTTTTGTTTTTTTTTTTTTTTGTCTGCTAAAACTTGGATATAGCCTATTCTCATGGAACCTCACCTACCTATTAATGCTGAGCAGGGGGTCTGTGTGCCACCTGGGCAGAGGTACTAACCATAGCCCAAAATGAGACGTGGGGGGATTGGACTTCCCTGTGGAAGTCTATCTAAACTGCTGCAGAAGTGAGACTGTGTGGTGGAGCTTTAGGACGGAGAACTGGCACCTGCCTGCCTTGTGTGCAGGGACGTGTCTGTGCTGTGTAATGGAGTGCTTTACTTTCATCAGGGGAACTCGGACATCTGCCTTGTGTGGTGGTGGTACCTGACTGCGTTTGGCCCAGGAGGGAGAATGGAGAGAAGGTGTTTAGGAGGAGCCAGTGTGGGACTCTGATTTAGTTAAGCAGCAGGAGTAAGAGAAGGGGCTGCGGATCTTTTCTGGTCACTTCTGCTCGTTGATGTGATGCGTGCAGAAACCTGGGAGTTCTAGGAGTAGGAGGGGAAGAGATACACAAATTGCAAGAGGATTTGTGAGATGGAAGAAACTGGAACTGGCGGGGCATAAAGGCTAGGAGGCAAGACATTAGGTCAGGAGGGGGAATAGATCTGTGGGTAAAGGAAACTGCAATGCAGAAATTAATCCTGGAAGAAATAAGCAGTGCAGCCCAGCAGTAGG